ATGGAACTGTATTTACTAATGATAGAAAGTTAGAGGAAGAGATCGACCGGCGAAATGGAGTAGCCAGTGGCGTTCTGAGTGAACTAGCCCGACCCATTGTGACTAAAGCAGAGCTCAGTCTTAAAACCAAGCTCTCGATATTCAAGTCGATCTTTATCCCCATGCTTACGTACGGTCATGAATCGTTTACCATCACTGAAAAACTTCGAACCCGGGTACAAGCTGCTGAAATGGGCTTTCTTAGACGAGTCGCTGGCGCCTCGACATGGTCCGGAATAGAGACATCCGGTATAGCCTTGGTGTACAGCCTTTTCTTGTTCAGACTGAGAAGTCACAGTTGTGATGGTTTGGCCATGTGTTGTGAATGCCTCTGGAAGGCTAAGCAACTGTTCCTTGCAAATGCGACAGGCAGAAGGCCCAGGGGCGGCCAAGATTAACCTGATGCAAACATATGCAAGGAGTCTGTTCCAGAATCCATTTGTCTTCTGCCGAAGCTCAGACTCTGGCACAGGATCAGGAACGTTGGATACTCTGTCTGACACGTCTGCCTCCGCGGTTCGAAAGGAGAAGCGGCGACGGAAGATGAAGATGAACAGGATCCTAGTGCGACCCATTGCGTGGTCAGGCGAGCCATACATTTCATGTTTGCCTACCTGAACAGACTCTGGCAATTTCGAGTAAAACGTTAGTCTGCGGGTTGGCAGTGTGAAGTTCCACATTGACGCTGGCCAACAATATGACCAGCTGAAGTCCTGACAGTGCGTTGTAGTTTGAACTGCAGTCCAGAAAGGCACCATTTGCTCATGCTTTTTCCTCATCGAGGTTGCTGGTAATGGTGGTGACAACTACAGAGTATTGCGTTCTCGCACATATCCGAATTGATACGGACATTAGAGATATTTCAATAAATCGACGGCAAGGCGATTCTTTCCAGGCATTTAAACGCAATTGGTGGAGCCAGTGCAATGAGGCTAGAAAGTTTTGGGATTGGAGTTATTCGCACTCTCTGGCATTAATTCGGCACTGCAACTTCTGCAGACAGCGGTTGCACAGCCTGGCAACGACTTCAGAAATTGAGTCGGCTTCAAGCTTGAAGACTATGGTATCTAAGCTGGCAGATTAAGCAGTCGTGGAAGCTTTGATTTTTTGAACTATCAGTATTGCGCGATCAGTCGAAATGGTGCATGACGAGATGCGATTTCGCGGTTCACACGGATTGCTTTCGACACGGAGTTAAAGAGATTGGTAGCTACTTCCTCAATTTCGAATCGGAAAATAATAGCTGTTAGAAGTCTCGGATCTGCTTCCGATTGCACAGTCGGTTAATTGCGGTCCTCTTATCCTTGTTTTTTGGCAGCGGATCGCTCGTGGTTCAGTCAAACAATTTCAGATGTCAGTTGCCTTCATAGGTGTTTAAAGACTGCTTTATTTCCGGCCCTATACTCTTTGTTTTGTTGCCGAATGGGCCGCTAAGCACCGCGTGTACGGCATCCAACGGTCATGAAGTCAATTTTCTGCCGGGAGCAACAGGTATTAAATTCAAAGTTGATGTATGCCTCACGGCAACTTAATAAATCGTTGTCTGACTACCCCTCACCCCCTCGATCATTACGTTACATGTTAACCAACAGACTTACCTCCTGTTTTTCTGCAGACACCCTGATAACAAGCTTCATGATCATTGCAGTCTCTAATAGCAGCGCAACTTCTCTCTATAAAAGCCGTTTCATCTTCGATAACATACATACAACTCAGACGTGTTCTTTACCATGGTTCTGGCAGAGGCGACTGATGCAACGTTGCGGAGTTACGCAGTCGGCGTCGTTAACGCACCTTATGTCTGTAAGGTAAGGTTATACGTTTATGCAAATACGAACCGACGTCTATGATTTACCTGTCAGTGTCATGCATATTCTGAATAAACATCTGCTGCCGATGGGACAATCTCGACTGGTGGCGCAGGTTCCGCCGGATGGTCGCACGGATCGACAGTATCCGCCCGGTACGCAAATAAATTGACCATTGCATGGCCACCCAACTTTGCACTGAACAACTGTGAATCGGCGAACGTTATTACATTTCTCCGAATCCGAATCAATTGCAGGTTACCTGCGTTTGTACAGTAGCCCTGGTAACACGCCTGATTCGCGTAGCACTGGTTGATGGTAGAGCAATACTGTACTAAAAGTCGTGTTCTGCTTTCGTAAACAAGTTCGACATGAAAATTTGCTTGTTCTTATATCGCAGTGTGTTCGATTTACGACAGATGTTTAATCTAAAGCTGATTTCAGCATGTGGTCCTTCGATCAAGGTCTCGTCGCCGCAGAGATAAATAATTTTCCTCAAGTTTAGTCAGGAGCTAATGGAGAGCAGTCTTTGTTCATAAGAAAAGGAAAAGAAGTGAAAGAATACAAAAGAGTTTATAATTGCTGGCGGATAATGGCGGCATCCTGCGCACTCCCACGACATCTAACGCCCTTCAGTCGTATCGGATTCTGATTCGGCGATGCACCTAGTGTTGATTATTACACTGGTAGTCGATTATCACTTGGGTCAAGGTGAACTGGAGCCACAAGAGGCGTTTGCATTTGACGGCATAGCCAAACACCTCGTCCATTCACGGATGTCGTACCAGAGTACTACGCTGCCACTGCTGTTCGTAAGTCATCGACTTACACAACTCGTTTCTTGGCTGGTTGTGCCGAAGCAATGTGGAGTTAATTCCTTACTGCAGGAAATTTACGGTTTAACCATGCTCGGCACCTCCATGGTTCAAAACCAACCTCTTAGGCACTTTGCCACCAGGTCAGCGTACAGCCTGTGATGTGGTATCTCATGAAGTGTGAAGTTACAACTTACAGTTTCGTTGAGATCCGATCAAGATAGATAGCCGGCTCCTGCTTACCCCGAGGCAGGGCAGCAACAAACCGGCCTTTTACAAACATGAGAGGTGGGCATGCCTTTCCCATTGGCGAAATGCGGACTTGACTGCAGTACTGATCTATCAGTAACTTTCGATCAGGGAGATTTTTTATGTATACGTTGGCGATGATGTCGACCGGGTCAGGTGAAACGTTGAATTTCGTTACGCCAAACCTGAGCAGAATCATAAAGAAAGGACAAAAAGTCAAAAATCCATTTATCGCGTCAGCAAACCGCCCAAACCCCTAACGAAAGCGAATTTTACAGGCTGAGATGCAGGTCACTGGATTGTCGTTAACATCAGACACTGTTTTGCGCGGAATTAGTCAGCCATGATGTTCAGCAGTTTCATGTACACAATTTGCTGCAGCTTTTATCTTGGACGAACCTTATCGCTGTCAACAGTAAATTTGTCAAGTTACTGATGGAGGATGAACTTACACGTCATATTTGCCAAATTCAGATTTTGGACACTATGATTATTATGCGATCCGTACAGCGGCTGACTTTCTGATTACTGCGGGTGATTATATCCTGGTAAAGGCGACTCAGCGAACGTTATAAAATTGCTAGATACCAAGCTAACAAGATTTAATATACTCGCTGCTAAATTTTAAACAGCCATTCTGATTTATCAAAACGTATGACTCTTCCAAGGCCAGATTTCACCGGATATTGCCCTGCCCCCTAGCTCGTAGCGCGCCGTGCAGTGTGCCTTGAAATCTGGTTTGGAGGAGATATGCGTTATGTGACATATTCCCGCTCACGGACACCTTATGATGTTTAACGTATAGCATGTAGAAGAAACGCCATCTCCTGAAATATCATTCGATGGGCGTCGGGTGGCTGTAGCGAACAAAATGAAGTTAAGTGCGTCTGTCACTGCAGGTGTTCAAGCATCATGGCGCCTTGGCTTGCTTAAATGACTCTCTTAGGAAATTATGACCAAACGAGCGGAGCGCTACAGCATGCTGTAAACTCTGGTCTTGGAGGATTAATGCGTTAATACGTTATCTGACATACTCCGGCTTACGAGCAGCTTACTTTGGTACTTATGGGCTTCTCCTACATTGACGTTCATAGCTTTCCCACGAATTTTTCAAGTAAACTCACGTTTATTACTGTAGCGGTTATTCAGCAGGAACTACCGACTGCGCCCTACTGTTGCACGGTTTAGCCATCATAGGCTGTCACCTCGACCGATCGTTATACTTACCAGCTGTTGGCGTACAGAAGGCGCAGAGGCACAGCAAGGATAGGCGAAAAGCAACGGCTACGTTCGACATTGTTCACCAAATCGTCAAGGTGGTACCAACCGATGCTAGCTTTATACATGCGCCTTAGATGCAGAACACCTGCCGTGTGGCGGCGGCAAAACAACGTACAGTTTCGTGTGCAGCTGCCTTAAAGTTTCCGCGTGCTAAAAGACTACTGATGGCTGGATGACTGGATGTTCGGTGTGCGCCGAACAGAACATTCGTATGGCTTTGATCATTGGAGTGACGTCGAAACTGTTCTCGAGGGAGACAACAGCAATGTTTTAAGTGATGGTGTTGGCGGTTGCCAGAGTATCTATACCAT